ACTTCACTGTCTTACTTCACACGACTTTATGAACTTCTTCGCCATCCGATTACTTCCTGGCAGATTATGAACCACAGGCAGGCAGGGACAGTCTTGCAGAAATAGATTACAGGCCAGTAAGATGTTCTGGCGGACAGTGAGGACACTGAAGCTCGGGGATTACCAAGTATCACAAGCTAACGCCTCCTCCATGGTAACGCTCACTACTGACAGCTCACGTAGTTATGAAGCCCCACCATCACCTGCAGCCTGGTGGACTCGGCCCAAATAGAGGAGGGCGTGATGGGTGTGTTCGGGCGTGTGGGGGGCGGCGAGTAAGGTTGGTACCCCCTTGGCGGGTGAGCCACTGCTGGTGTCGTCAGTGGGTGACTACTGACCAACACAGCTCCACGACACCCACCTTCACCAACGACGCCACATACTTTAACCCTGCCATTGGCACTCTCGCCCACATGCTTCCCACCTTTTGTCGCAACAGCACCACGTATTGTCCACTTTTCCTTCCGCCTCACCATACTATAACATATACTTATTCGTCTGGCTCAGGCTACCACCCTACAGTCACAGAAAATTATCAAATTAAACTGATACATTATTTGTTCGGCGTTCTAAAAAATGTTGGCAACTAACAAATGATGTGCCGCCATAAAGGTGACCATGACAAACAACCCAATACGTGCTGAGTAAATGTGTATATATAAAACAGAGTGACCTCACTCAAAATACATCAAGGTTTACATGAATATTGAGGTATAATAGAGGGAGTTTGAGATTAAGATGAGGTGAGGCAGACCAACGGGGCGGAGTGTGGTCGAGGTGCCCTGCTGTGCCAATGTGTCAGCGTCAGTGCCCAGGGACCATCATTCACTGGCGTCCCAGAAAGGTAATACTACACACACGTTGTACTTCACGATTTTTTTTTAATTAACTCCTAAATGAAAATATAAAGAGTGAAGGTGAACGATGGAAACAGGTGAATAATCTCTGCGGGAAATGTGTTGGAAGTGAACCATGCGCCACTGGAGGAGGGAACAAGGGGGAGGCAGAGCGGGGTCACGTCCTCACCTGCTGCAGTAACTCCTCGCTCCTCACCTGTCCGCTGCTCCTCGTACTGGCACTAACATAATAATCTTCATAAAACAGAGAAGAAGCTTTAAAACCAATAAAATATAAGCGTAGTGGAATGAATAAACTAAGACTAGGCAATAAGTCCCCGTGTGTTTAGATCGTGGGCGGCCATGCTGCCCCCTCACTCACGTAGGACCATCAATGTAAACACACGGGCAAGTGGTCTTCATGTGACACTTGTACGCTACACTGGAGGGTAGAGGTGTCATGGGTATAGGGGTGTCGTACGGGGGAGGTGTCATGGGTGTGGGGGTGTTACTGAGGGGTAGCGGTATCATGGGTGTAGGGGTGTTGCTGGGGAGTAGAGGTATCATGGGTGTAGGGGTGTTGCTGGGGAGTAGAGGTGTCATGGGTGTAGGGGTGTTGCTGGGGAGTAGAGGTATCATGGGTGTAGGGGTGTTGCTGGGGAGTAGAGGTATCATGGGTGTAGGGTGTTGCTGGGAGTAGAGGTATCATGGGTGTAGGGGTGTTGCTGGGGAGTAGAGGTATCATGGGTGTAGGGGTGTTGCTGGGGAGTAGAGGTGTCATGGGTGTAGGGGTGTTGCTGGGGAGTAGAGGTGTCATGGGTGTAGGGGTGTTGCTGGGGAGTAGAGGTATCATGGTTATAGACGTGTTTGGGGGTTTCATTTACGTGGGGTGCCACGGGAGTAAATATTCAGTTTGGCTCCACTATTTAATTTCTGGTTAAAATTTGATGAGATCTCTACTGAAAAGTTTGTTTTAATGCACAGAATGCACATCCGGTGGAGGAGGAGGGAGAAAACGAGCTTGACCTTAAGAAAACTAATGCTTTAAATCTCCAGACCAAGTCATGCCAACAAAGCCAGGCCAGAGAAACAACGATATTAAACCATTTCTGACAATACACAACACGGACCAACCAAAACAAACTAAATCAACCAAATTTAACTGTAAAAATAACTTAAAATCGTTTAGGTAACGTTAGTTAGGTTAGATACGGCTGATTTATTTTCTCTACTAAAAAAAAAGAGTTTAGTGACGTAGCCTTCCCGAATATGTCTTGTTGACAAGAAGGCTACCATGGTACTTAAAAGAAAACGAGATGGCATTTCCGCCTTCGGGATCATAATCAATGTTATGTTGACGATCACAGCTGAACATTGTGACCCATTCAAGAAGACATTAGACGTTCTATATATATATATATATATATATATATATATATATATATATATATATATATATATATATATATATATATATATATATATATATATATATATATATATATATATATATATATATATATATATGTATACAGGTATATTGTTTTTTACGTGGATTAGCCCACCCGGGCACAGGTCACTCATCCACATCGCGGCCTGAGGGCGAAAACGTAATACTACTAATAATAATAATCAATAGTAAACAAAATTTATAATAGAAAATACAAAATTAAAAATAAAAATAATAAAATATTAATAAAAATAAAAATAATAATAATCCACAGTAAATAAATTTGTAATAAAAAATAAAAAATTAAAAGAATAAAATAATAATAATAATAATAAAGAAACAAAGAAATACAAAAATGAAAAAACAAATCAAAAGTGAGAAACAATTGTGTGTAAATGAGGCAGAAAGTCAGTTCAACAACCTGGGACTTGGTCACAATTTTCATGATGCCATATGGCAGCAGGGTCTACCATTAGACAACACATTATGCTTCCATTATCTTCCCAAGTGGTAGTACCTCCCTGTTTGGTAGCTGCTTACTACCTAGTACCTGTAGGTAGCTCGAAAACGGACCAATGAAACTTTAACAAATTACGCAAACAAGCGTAGGTGTAACCAAGGGATGGTCTCGTGAATAAAAAAAAATAGCAGTAAATTAAAAAAAAAATGATGGTAATAAAAGAGAAAACGAAGACGATGATAAAGGGAAACCAAAGACACTGATAAAAGATAAAACGGAGACACAGCATAATAGGATACAAAAGACATGATACACAATAAACATCATGATACGAGGACAAAAACCTGAGAGGCAAAACACCAGGATACCAACAAAATGCTAAATAAATCATGATTGGCAATAAAACTTAAGACCTGACAGGCTACAAAAGAAAAACAATCACGGGACTACAAAAACATGTCCCGGTATCATGTTAAAAAATAAATTAGGCTACAAAACCATGATAGGCTGCAAGAATCATTAAAGGCTACATACGAATAACAAGATACAGAAACCATGATAGACTACAATAAACCCCTAATAGACTCCCAAACCATGATATATTCCCCCAAAAGACATGATAGGCTCACAAAAACCATTAGAGAGTCTTCAAAACCCCAATAAACTACAAAAAACATGATGGGCTATAAAGTACACCACAAAAGGCTACACATGCGGACTACATAAACAAGATAGACTGCAAAAAAAAATCAAGATAAATTGCAAACAGATTCAAGGCTACACAAATCAAGGAGACTACAAAATACAAGATAAACCAGAGAAAACAAAGACTACAAGATACACTACAAAAAATTCAGATGGACTACAACAAGATAGCCTACAAAATACCACAATAAACTATAAAATAAATCATATACAATCAAAACATCGAAATTGACTGAGCACAAAATTAATCCTGTTCTTGCAGCTCAACAAATTACAATGTTGATGGTACAATGTATACCTGTGTTTCAACAACTAATGTCTGTTAAGTGAGTAAAATACAATAGTTATCAACAATTCAGAGTACAATGAAATGAATAACAAGATGCAAGAGGAGGGGGAGGGTGACGAAGGTTCAGTTTTTGTTTTAAATAGCGTCTCCGTTTTTCATTATTTACTATTTTGTTTTCCCTGGCATCTACCTTGGTTATACCTGAGTGTCTACCAGAAGCACGGGTATAAAGTGAATGCCAAGATGACGTCATAGTTTTTACAGGGTTACGTGACTGCTGGACGCCCGGGTGACTCCTTCGTTGGCATCATGGATCAAGACACTATTGTACGAATATTTAAGTGCTATTTTCGCTAGTTCACTATGGTGCGTCTCGCTCCTTCCTCGGGTTTACATTCGATACATTAAAACAAACCAATTAGTAGAGATCTCAAGAGACAACCAAGAAAATACACTGGCAGGAGTAAACAGACAATGTACAGTAGCTAAAACAACTATCTGTGCATACTTTGTGGGAAACAATATGAGACAATGGACGATAAATTTTGGTATATGAGGGCTGTCACTAGTCACACCTAAAATTTCGGAGCATATCGACCTCCACCTTAGTTGTTTTAGCTACTGTACCATTATGGGGATGTTTGTATGTCTGGGGTGCGGATGTTGGCGTCAGGGAGCACAGATTAAAGGGATGGAAGCTCTGGGGAAGGATAGGAGGGGATGTTCCTGTGGACATCATGTTGTATAGGAGACGGAAATATCATGGGGGTAGATATATCACGGGGTAGATATATAACGGGGTGGGGTTTTCTGGGTGTAGAATGTTTACGGGGTGAAGTTTTTACGGGGGTAGAGATTTCACGAGGGAGGAGTTTACCTGGGGTTAGAGGTACCAAGGGGAAGGGGAAGGTGTTGTAGGGGGTGGTTTCAGAGGGGTGGTGTCACGGAGGAGGGGGGGAGGCGAGAAGAGCGTACAGTAATTAGCTGTGGGTGACGGGTGAAAAGTCTGGGGGGTGGTTGAAGGGAGAAGGGTAGTGTGCCGAGGCTGGGAGAGTCACACTCAGGTTAAGGCAAGGTGAGGCTGAGAGAGGGGAGGGAAGTGTAGGTGAGGTACTGGGGTGTTGACGTACATAATGTCTGGGAAGCTGCCACTTGGAGGGGGAGTAAGGAGTCCTCGCCTGGTGGAGGAAGGTGGGGTGGGGTGGGGCAGGTGCTGGGTACCTTGCTCAGGTCTGCTGAAGTATCGTCAGAGATGTCGAACACATCGTTGGAGCGCAGAACGTCGTTGTCCGTGTCGAACTCATCGAAGGATTCGCTACTTGAAGAGTCCAGATCGCCGTCTTCTTCATGTTCGGCAATGGGGGCCGTCTTCTTAGTGCCAGTGATACGACTTAAGGACTCCAAGTGTTTCTCGGCCTTGACGGCGATGGAGGCGGCAGAGGTGGAACGTTGGGCGCGGTGGGAGAGACACAGAGAAGGATCAGGTGAGTCGTCCAGCCCTCGCCCTGGGGTCAAAGACTTGCCTCTTCTACCCGCCAAGCCGCTTGAGGAGCGGGATTCCACGATGGCTGTGTACCGGTCCAGCATGTGGTCTGTCTTCTTAAGAAACTTGTCGATCTGGCGGGTGAGGTTTGACGACTGAGCCTCCGGAACTGTGTAGGCAGGTCGCGCCTCCACGTGCTTGTGCACATGGGTTTCATTCCCCATCCTGAAGGTGAACCCAGCGTTGAACACCACTGGGTCAGCGTCAATGACGCCATCTTGAGGGAGGTGACGGGGTACGGAGGGAGACATGCGTCTGGCCCTTTCAGAGGACGAGTAACTAATGCCGCTGCGGGTGTGTAGGGAAGGCGGCGGAGAGCTTGTATGTCCGACATATGGTGCTGGACCGCGTACTACACCACCGGGGACGTAGCCCTGGTGTGTACGCGTGCCTGAGACACTATAGGGGAACCGCGGGACAGGACAGACAGGGGAGTGGGTGCTGGGGACATAGCCGGGCCAGGGCCCCACCAAACTTGGAAAGATAGGATGGTTAGGGTTGCCGCGGTTGTTCATGACGGGGGAGTGCAGTTCTCACGTCCTCATAGCACTCATGGTGGAGAGCAGCGCCGAGTACCACGATCCTTCTCTCACGCACCCCACCACCACACTGCCAAGCCGCCGCCACCACGCCACACTAAACTTAGCATGCCCCGCGCCCTGCCCTGCCCTGCTCTTTAACATCACCGGGCCTCCGTCTGCTCGCACAAACGCACGCCCGTAGCGCACACATCGAAAACCTAACTACATCACCACACCCTAACCCTCAGGCCAACACTAGCCCCATCATCACATCCTCAACTGTCAAGCCTGACTGCATGAACAGCCTCACAAGTTGCATCATGACGACCACACTCCACCTGGCAGTATGTTATGGCGTCACCACCAGTGTATCTCCCTCCAACACAGAGACTCTCCATCCTGCCAGCAGTTTTACTATATGAAAGGTCATTTTGTTAAAGCAGCTACATTAATTAGCTATCAACGCCACCTGAATATCGAGAAGGGAAAAATTCCTCAAGAATTCACACTCTACACCCCTTCCTCTCTCCTCAGCCTGGTGACATTCCTAACTAGAGTGGTCCACAATAATACCCAGGATCATCATCATCACTTCTTCAGTCTTCAACACACACAAGAGATGAGTCTCTAACATACCCGTCCACATAACACTCACTACCTGTGTACACCTAAGACCTCTCGTCATCACTCAGCCTGACCCCCATCTACTAACTACAGCCTCTGGTTTCTGGTTCCTCCCTCCCTTAGACCCGCTGAGTATATTCCTGGAGTTCAAGTTCAACGCACTACAGGTCACCTCGTAGTGCAGAGGAAATTTTATATCTACTCGGCGTTAGTCCGGGTACAAGCACGGCAGCATTCCGTACTAGGCTTGCCACCACAGATCCTGTGTCCACTAACACTACTTGTAACCTGGTAATGTTAATAAAGTAGCAATAAGACGGTCTCTCGAATAACTCTCTCAAGCGACATGATGCACAAAATGGATTTGAGAAGTTAGACAAGGCAGCAGGGTGAGGTATAGCCAGCAACAATTTCGAGGACACGAAGCGGACACAGCCTGCTGCCTGATGGCCTCCTCCACAACCTTGGCACACACGCACTAGACCTTGAAACTTAGGCAAGAACTATTACCTGATATATAACTACACTACTCATTGTAGTTTGGCCACTTGTCAATAACGTAAAGCCAAGTGTCACACTGGGCTATATCTTGCTGCAGTAGGGCGAGGGGTACAGTGATCACATAACTAGGGTTTAACACACATTTAACCAGTTTAAAGGCACCATCGTTAGGTTAGTACTGCGGGCAACAATGCGCACACTACAGGTGTTGTCAACGTATGGACACCATCCATCTCTCCTACCATCACTGGCCACATATAAAGTTAACGTGTATGTTATCTTACACTCCACCTGGTGACACAACAGCTACTGCCGACAATAACACGGGTTTTATTGTTTCACCACCCTCCCCACCCCCTTCACCTTGAACCTTGTCTAGATTTTCAACTTCATGCATGTTGCAGACTTATAATACAGGTACTGTTCATTTATCTTTTTTCTGATTAAAGAATTCCAACACTGTAATGGAAAAGATTTTTTCAGTACAACAACAGTGTAAGTTGACATGATACTTATCTGAGTGTGAGTCTTAAGGATACTTTGTGTACGTATCTCCTCCTGTGCCTCTGGTGTTCCTAAACAGTTGTGTTTATTCTTGCCTGGTTACTACAGCTTTATCGTTCTGCTTTTGGTGCACTCCTAAAATACACTGTGTATTGGTCTTCCCTGGCTACCACACACTGTGCTACTCTTAGTACCACATTACTGGAAAACACAAAGTTTGAACTGGTTAGTGAACCATTTAAGTGCCAGACTTCTGATCAGAGATAAAGGAACACCACCTTCTATTCCTACAAATTAAGAATTACAAAACAAACTATTACAAATGACTGCACAGTATTGTACTAAATATAGTTACGGTCTTTCTTTATTAAAATATTAGTTAAAGAAAATGTATTACGCTTGAAGTCCTGTTCATTATTAGTCAACAAGTTGTTCACTTATAGTACTACCTTCCCATAACAGTACCTACAAACACGAAGCAGCAGCAACACGTGTACAATAACTGTGTGACCATCTCTGTTGGTCCCGGGCAGCCCGTCGAGGGGAGGAGCTTACGAGGCCCTAAGATTGGAATAACAGGAGCAGGACGACACAGGTTCACGGGATAACTTCACTTACAGTAAGTCTTCATCTCGTCTCATAAATTAAGAATTACAATTACAATCTGATATGAAAAGCGAACAAGTGTATCCTGTGAATTCACCGAAAGAGGAAAAGATGAGATAAAGACTGAGGTGAGATGAAGGTATATTGCCCCTCTCCCCCTCTAGTCTCACACTCACCAAAATCAATCAATCAATCAATCTCTCTCTCTCTCTCTCAAAATCAGGGTTTTCAGGTTATTTCAATGCGACCAGCAAACAACTCAAGATTAACGAACACAAATACAGTGAAGTGGAGATCACACACTATTGAGATGTGTGTGTGCTAAGAGAAATAACGCTAACTATCATATCGATGGATTACCTTTCACTGGTCAACAAATAGGGATGAGTGGATAATAACAGATATATATTGACCCTTTAGAGGGCAGCCCCACACTTAAGTATTTTGTTATGGCTAACGACAGACGATTTTATTCAGCCGAGAGAAATCCCTGCCCCTTCAGGGTTAGTCGGCAAAATTGAGGGTAAAAGGGCGAGGGGAAGGCCGAGACTGGGATGGATGAATTAAATTATAAACTGAGTCCCCAGAGAGATACAAAATCTTGGAGGTTTGATAAAAGCGCCCGAGAACGTTTATAGTGGAGGACTGTGGTCGCCATCTCTCAGAAGGACGGTACTCGGAGTGATTGGTCAACTAATGTCTGAATCACTAACCGCAGTACATTGTAACGAAGGATAGAATGATAAGCAAAATGAGGAATAACAGGAGAGTGAAGACATTGTTTTAGTATCGATACTGAAACAGTTTATTTAGCCAGAAAAACAGATACAGAGTCGATAAAAATAACAATATTAACATGGCTGAGCCAGATGAGAGCCTGAGCTGTCTTCAAGTAAGTTGAGTTATTTCGATAACCATAATTACAGGTATTAAATATACGGATCACCTGAATATAATTTTATTTCACTTGATTAAACACCCTAACTAACGCTACCTGGGGCCGGTTAGGTTACTTTAGTGTGAGGATGACTAATCTTAATGTCCATATAGACAATATTATTTCTTCTAAATCACCATTTACTCTGTCGAGCACACAACCCCGGCAGCTGCTCGACGGGAAAGAGTGCCCACATCCTAAACAATAAATGGTCTCTTCCTGTCTTTAGAGTTGAAGACTGAATCTTACACAGGAAACCACCAACATGGACAACCACAACCACCACTATCATGAACTATAATCAGTGACCGATAGCAACAACTGGACACATCCCAACAACCACCATCACCCAAACCACATTGAGTGAGTGACCAGTGTCTCTCCACCAGTTACAACCGAGCAAATTATCACAACCAACCTAACAAACAACCACTGCCTTCTTTAAAACAATGACAAACAAAACAAGTGAAAAACAACAACAAAGCAAGTAAAAGTGACCAATTGGAACAAGTAAACACTCTCCTCCAGCACCACCACGAAGTATAATGTTGTGGTGCCAGGGGGAGAGGCCCACGCTCGCCCAGCTACACCACATACACATCTTCCACAAATACACTTCTCTGGTATTGTCGCACAGTGTCTCGGGTCAGCCAGGAAGAACCACGTCTCAGGTACCAATAATAGCAGCTTGTGTTTCCCTGCTTGCACCCACAACACTTATGACAACTATTGCACAAGAAGGTGAAAGACAAACACCTTCGTCCAGCCTAGTAAGAACGGAAGTCCTACCGATGACCAAGATCACAATACCACAAATGCCTGTCGGACACTTCGTAACCAGCTAACTAATCTCTGTTACTGTGCAAGTCTTGAGTCTCCCATTCCACCAAGCCAACAATTTAGGCAGATATACATCTGTAGCATCAGACTGTACCTAGAGCTGCCCACCACACCACACCACACCACACCGCACCGCACCCGCAACAAACACCATCAACAACAACACGAGGCACCACACTGGGAGTTCCAAAATACTCCACACCACATCTCTCACCGACACTTTATAACACCGCCATAACTACGAGTAGAATATCAAAACCCACGCTGAACAACACCAGTCTCTGATGTGAAAGATACGTTTAAAACAACACTACTCAGTAACTGTATTTAATAATATATTAGTCACTCTGAATGATACCACTCAGTCTACAACGATAACACTAGTCCACAATGTACACCAATAACGCTCAGCCAGCAACACTTACGTCAGCTGCCAATACCACTAATACTCGACAACAACCAACCATGATAACGTTTCCAGTGACACCACACTACACCACAATAACAACACTAGTTATCTGGTCAGAGGGAACACAAGAGCGAGGCAGCGAGTAATACCTTACATGACTCATGAAGTATCATGTTGTCCTCAGACCACCTCCTACAGGTTCCCAGCTAGCGTCCCTCCCTGACCGAATATTCCTCTCCAAGAGACAGCTGGCACTTGAAATTACGTGCGTCGAAAGCAATGGTCAACAATCCAGACGTGACCTACCTTGTGGCCGCTCCGTGGTCAACAAACTGCCGATTCCACTTACCGTGTGGCTGTTATGAGGTCAACAAACTTGACCTGACCTACCTGGTTGTGGCTTTGTTGTGGTGCTCCCAGCAGACGCGACACGTCCTCCATAATAACTGTGAAGTTTTCTTGGTTGTCACTGAAGTTCCACTCGGAGGCGTAGCGGGACATGGTATATGTGTAGCTCTTAGCTCGTAGCTCTTAATGAAAGTGACATGACAAACTGTGTATTTAACCATAAATATTTGACATCTGAGTCAAGGAGCTGGAATAGTAATTAGAAATACCATAAAAGACAGAGTGCGAGATTAATTCCTGCAGAAACAAAGGAG